AAATAAATACTTAGCACTCACATCTTCACTTAAAATTTAAATGTTTTGATGCAGTTAGATTAAGGTATTTCATACATGTATATGTATATATGTATATATGATTCGCAAAATTTGACATATGACGGCAATTAATAAAATTTATCTTCAGCTTGCAGTATTTTCTTTTTACATGCTGCAATGAAGTGCATTGTTTAGATAAAATGGAGAAGCAAAGCCTATTGTCTGCATATTCATTATGTTTTCCATATCAAAAGACAAAAGAGGTTTTGCCGTCTTTAATAAATAAGGAGCTGAATGTGTCAATTGGCCAGGCGTTAAATGAAATTTATCCTAAAATGCACAAATACAATGTTCAATTTATCCAAACGTTTTAAGTGGAATATGCTTAGGGTGAATAATTGGCTGATATGTCTGTATTATAAATAAATATGTACTCGTATTATTAAGCGAAAATTGAAGTCCGGTGATTATAAGTATTCTCATTACAAATATTTTATTGCGGCATATTTCAATAATCACAGAATAGCCTTCGAACTAATTTATTCAACGACCTTCAGTTTTGCAGGCCAAGCAATATTCTACTCCAATAGCTTTCGCTGATTGACCCGGTTTCGTAATGGTACGAGTATGTGCCATTAAGTGCATTCAAATGCATCTTCAGTGCCTGCCTATACATGCAGGCCATATTTTTGTTGTTGTGAACTGGCATAAGTAGGCCAGCTGCCACAGGCAGCTTCACCTTGACCCAAATTGTCAACCCTTTGGCAGGATGCAACCAAACAAATGCCCTTCTGGTGCGCTCTAATGCATGTGCATCATCTGCTGGGAAACGTGCTCATCTATGCAACATATGCAACTAGTACCTTTTAGTGAACTTTTACTTTCAAACGAGCTGCCGACGACCTTGAGCTGTCTTATCCGCTCGAAAGGCGGCAACAGCTGCACATCCAGCAGCAATTGCAACTGTCAAGTGTGGCTTAGGGGCGTAGGAAATGTGTCACCGCTCTAGTAGGTAAGGCAGCCTGCCTAGCCTGCAAACTTAAAGCTGCACACAAACTGAAACATCAGCACTAACAACTGCAAAATTGCTTCCACTTAATAAAGCACACTAATGATGACCACAAGTTGAGGAACTCCCAACGAAATACACTTGAGCACGTAGCAGGCAACATGAAACCACTTGGCAGCCGGGGGGAGCCAAACGTGGTCGCTCCTTTGTCGAATTAGCGCTGTAAATATGTACAAGTATGAAAAGTACTCTAATTTATTTTTAATAATGTTGCTGAAAGGCTTTTTGAAGTGCTTTTCCTTTCTGGCTTATAAATACAAATATGTACATTTCTCGACTGCCTCACGTGCCCCCAAATGCAATTGATTTCCCGCTAGTTTGTGTACTTTCAATTATCCAGAAAAAATACGGGTATATTCCTACATGAGCTTTGAAGTGGAGAGCAGCCACAAGCCAAATGATAGCTTTAATATTTGAATACTGTGGAATACTGTGGAACTCCCCTTCATAAAGCCGTAACGTGGCAGAAAGCCAAATACTTTTAACGATCTATCTGCTTTAAATTTATTTTCTAGAATTCTCTATTTGGACTGACACTTTGAATTACAGTATTTGAGTTTTCTACAACTATTTTGTTTTTTCATTCTTTTTTATATTTATTTTTAGTTATTTTATTTATTTATAACACTTATTCTATCGTTACAAGTGTCAAGATACTTTTAAACTATTACACTAGTCATTAAAAATTTAATTTATTGAGCTATAACTATAGGTTATTTTCATAAGATTTTTATTCATTTTATTCTTCTTCTTTTTTTAGTCTTTATTTAATTTTTTTTCTTTCTTTTTCTCTTTTCTTTTTTTCTTTTTATTTTAAGATTATTAGATCAGTTTTACTTTTTTCTTAATCCATTCTAAACTAAGTGTATATTATAGTTTTTATTGTTGTTATTTTTTTATACTCATTGCTTTCTATTAATTTTTGGAATTTTTAGTTTAATACTTGCATTTTATATATTTTATCTTTTTCCAATTATTTAGGAGTTTCTCATACATAGTCCCAGTGGTATTCAAATGGAATGTTGTTGTCTCATAGGAACTGGTGTTAGTTTCGTTCTGTCCAGGCAATTGGAAGATTCTGTTTTAGGCAAGTAGTGCTGTATTAGAAAAATATTTTCAGGACATGCACCACCCATAAAAAAGAAAAGATTTAAACTGTTTATTTAAGGGTCACTTTCGCCAAAGCTGCGCTGGACAAATACAAACACACCCACCCACACACACACACATGTGCACTTAAGCAAATGCTTTCTCCACTTTCACTCGCAGAAAGGGTTACACATACGTTTATCTGCACATTTGAGCAGATCCGTGTATATATGAGTAGGTCGTGCACAAACAAAGTTGGTATCCTCAAGGGAACATTTGATTGAATTCAATCGCCAGTTGTGGTAATGCGCATTTCAGGGCTCTCTGGTAGGTTTCTTTTTATAATCCCCATACTTATCTGTGTTGAAAATATCGAATTTTTTAAATCAACTGTGTGTGTGCGGAAAGTTTCGTCAGTTGATTTAGCAAATGCTATTTGTTTTTACTTGCTGCATTGATTGATATTATTATTGATGGGTTTGATTGATGGTTGGGCAAGGGTTGCTCATGTGGGGCTTTAAAATTTTACGATTTTTGGAAAATTAAAAAAGCAGCTTAGCATCGCCATAGCTTGAAGCGCATTAGATGAGAGACTTTGCTGCCGGCAGCCATTCGCGGGGTGCCACGCGACATTTTTCCGTTTGAATGCCACCGCCGCGGTTTTTCAATAATAATGCCTTGGGTTGGATGTGGTTGTGGTTCAGTGGCTGCTGCTGCATAAAAGTGGCCTTTGTCTGCGTTTTTCTTTGATCTGTGTCATCCATTTGTGAGAAAGCATATTTTCAATCAAGTAACGAGCCGACTACCTAGGTATTCCGATTGATTATTATTTGCGCACAATAAGTGGAAATATGCATATGAATAGAACAAGTTTTTCATTTGCAAGCGGAAGCTTAAACAACCTCATAGAATAAAACAGTATATTAATATAAATAAGTGTTTAGTTGCTATTTATATCAGCCATATCCATTGGTGGAGTGGAATTACTTCACAACGTTACTTCTCGATTCCTTTCAATCTTAAATTTCAATTACAATAATATCCAAAAACAAGTTCGTTGGAGGGCATTTATTTTTCATTCCGGAAACTCAGCCTAATTATGCCAGAGAGACAATTACATTAACTAAATAAAATTACATAGCACATTTTAAATACCTTCAGAACCCAATTTAAATAAAAAATTAAATAAAAATGATACTTAATAGTTAAACAATGTTTTGCTAAATACCGATTGTAAATGAAGCATCGCTTCTAAAATTTAAGCCGTCTTGTTCCTAGTAGTAATGATCAAATTAAATTTGTAAAACCGGATGATATTACTTTGAAAATGTCAAAGATTTGAATTAAAATTCGAGATATAAAACAATTAGGACAACTTGGCGAGTCTTTGGATTCAGACAGTTAGATCGACTCGTTTTGTAATGCTGATCAAAAATATATATTACACCTAATTCTGTTTTTACACGGTCTTACATTACAAATTTTATGTATGGTTACATTGCATATGATCAATGTCTTTTTTTACACGGTTTTTTTACACGAATTTTTTAGGAACCAATCTACCGTGTAAAAACAGAATTTGGTGTATTTTGTGTTTCTTTGTTACAAAAACTGAACAATATTGTCATACCTTATTGACTTACGGACAGAGGCAAGAATGACGAATGATGTAAACTGGACTTTTAAAAATATATTAAAAAGGTTAAGCTCGGGAATATTATTCACACCGCTTTTTAAATTTGACACAAAGAAAAGGCTTCCTCCGGTACCTCGATGAGCTTGAGTGAACAAATTCTGAACCAGAGTTTTCGTGTAACTCTACCACGTGAAGAAGATCGTTCAATTTTCTTTCTTCACAATAATGTTGGCAAAAACAGGGTAATTTTTTTTAAATATGCATTTATTTCAGTTAAAAATTCTTAGTTAATAGGTATAATTGTAATTACTTAAATCATTCCTTAGTTTAAGTTTTGTCAATATTTCTACTGTTGTGTTGTACTTTATTTATGCTCATGACATAAAAACTATTTTGTAATTTCCACATTTTTTCCAAAAAGTCTTACTTGAGTTGTATTGCTTAGAAATAGGCATATGACTTAAACAAAATTGACACACATGCTAGCTTACATTTAAGAGCAAAATAATTATACAAAAATATATGCTTTTATTTATTTTTATATTTATTTATTATTATTTATTATAACTAATTTCTAGTTTAAGAAGCGGGCTAACTATGGACATTTAAAAGTTGAATCGATGCAAATCGTCTGTAAAAGTTGTAATCTAGTTCGTTTAATAAATAGACACCAAGAGAGTTGTAAAATGTTTATAAATACTCCTAAGTTGTAATAATATTAGTAAGTTGTAGAAAAATGCACCTAAGACTAATATATGAGTTGTGTGTGAAAACTAGCTTGATTCTTGCACTGGGCCGACCTTGAAACAACTTAAATTACGTTGGATTTACTCAAAATGTACATAATCAAAATGCTATTTAGTATAAACTTGTAAACTGAAAAACTTAAGCTTAGCACTAAAAGTATTAATCACATTTGCGCTTTTAATTTTTGTTGTTCAATTTTTGCTCGCTTTTCTACATTATCAGCCTTTAGCCTCTTGCGACATTTTTTCACATTTCACCGACGGCAACACAAATCAAAATCAAAAGGTGACTCAAAAGGAAAACTCAAAATTGGGGCTTTCCTTTGGAAATTGTTCACATCCAACCATCACGCTGGTCACGCTAGTTCTCACCAACGAAAAGTAATCACAAGTTGCGCTTAGGAGCTGTCACCTCTATGGGTCCAGAGTTGTTTTTTATTTTTATTATTTGTTAGTCTCCTTACTTCGGTGCCGCCTTCGGTTGAATTTGCACCACGGCTGTCAATTTGGTTGGCTTGCCACTCTGCTGCTGTTGCTGTAGATAGAACTGCTTGAGGACCTTGCACATGGTCAGGGCCAACATTTTCCAGGCCAGCAGTTGCTCCTCAGTGCTAGGGGCCGTCATAGTTCCAGTAGAACTTGTTGCTGTCGCATTGTGGCTCCCATGGCTGTTGCCGCCACTTGGCGGTCCCTCGTAGTCCACCTCATCGTAGTTGGCATTTGTAGCTGCCATCGGACCATCCACTTGGTCCCCGTCGGCAAAGTCGCTGGGCATGCTTGGCACAGCAGCCACGGCGGGCTCATCCTCGTAAAATGGTATGGCCATGATTGTGGAAAGTCTCGTTAAATGCTGTTGTTGGCTCGGTTTTTTGTGTGGAACTTTGGAACACTTTGTCACTTGATGCTTGCTGTAACGCACTGTACACGAGCGCTCGTTCGACTGAGTCGCACGGCCAACAGACACCCGTATTTATACCCGGGAAATGCAGCTGCAGTCGTCACAGCAGCAGCAGCGCGCAACAAGCCAACCACCCTGACCCTTACCCTTGTCCAATGCCAGGCGCGCCGCATGTAAACCCACCCCAGACAGACCCAACGCATTGCTCACGTGCTTTACGTGACAACTTCCGTAACCAAATGTCGGAGAGCCGCTCTCTCCCACTCGCACTCGCTCTCCCTCAGCACCACCCCAACCCCTAAAATATTTGTAGTCTCCTTGTCGCTGTGCCGTAATGTCAGACGCTTTGGCAGTCGTCGAAACCCACGTCACGTGCTTGTCTGAGAGCATAACACTTGTGGCATTTTACGTTGTTGCCCTACGTAAGAGCTTACGATGCCTCTCGGGTCTTCGAAATATTAAGGGGTGTTGGTTCTCATTACAAGTTCGAATTTTTCTATTTCAATGTGTTTTTGCCTGTGAGGGGCAATTCGAAATTCTTGCTACTTAGTTATGTTCTCCGCAGTGTATATGGAAAAGTTTTCGGTTGATTATTGACTTCAATTGATTTGGGGTGTCCTTGACTAAATTCTTTGGAAATTGCTTTTTTGTTTAAGCAAAAATGTAACATATATATTCTTGCTATTCTAAAAAATACAAAAAGGTCTGTATTTTCAAATTAAACCAATTTCTTTTTCGATTGTATTTCTTATTTAAGTATGTGAGAGAAATATATGCCATAAATAAGAAATGTATGCTATAGATAAGAAATTTGTATACCCTGTACTTTAAGTATATATTCTAGATTAGTATGCCAAGACGTTTTCGTCCGCCGATATGCACGCGAGAATCTCAGAAAGTACAAGAGCTACAATAACCAAATTTATTATCCAAGTTCCGCCTAACTCTAGTCAGAGCAGTTTAAGTTTTTTTTTTTTTTTGTGAATTGTATGGTTATTTTTTTTTTTTTTTTTTTTTTGTGAATTGTATGAAGTTATGTGGTGGGGTTTGCACCACAAGTAAAACACGTCCGCTCTGTTTGCCAATCTGTTTAATACTGTCCTTTGGTATTCACAATCATTCGATGTTACATATCATTCGATCATTCGATATCACATATGCTTACATGCCTATACTCATACTTATACTACTACAGTTATGAATTACATTTTAGTTGTAATAATATTAGGTTTTTTTCTTCTTATACTAAATTCTCTTGAATGTCACGAACACAATACAAGTATGTCATTAATGGTATTAAATACAAGAATCATAGTGTAATGCATTTTCGCCGGAAAAACTATGGCAATGTAAAAATACTAATTTGAGGTTCTTTTTGTGAACTTCAGAAATATATTTGAATTTAAAGCAACCTGGTACACCCACTGAAACCCAAACAATCATTTTGTGGGTCAAAGCTTAACTTGTTTTTAAAACACATCCACAACATTTGTAGAACTGCTGCTACAGTTGAAGCAGAAATGTATAAAACTGTTGTATGAGTTCTTTAGTTTACATGTGTAGACGAACTTAAACTCTTTTCCATATTTTATGTAAATATAGTATGTGTAGAGCTTGTTGCTTTTGTGCTGGCTTCCCATTCAGACGCTCATTCAATTTCAAGTCTTATATATTTTTACAACCGCAAAACAATCAGCAACATTTCCACGCCACATGCCACTATTACATATTTTATGGCAACACGAGAGCCAAGGAGTGCTGGCTGCAGGTTTCTTCGTTGTGCGCCGCCCCATCCACTGCAAATCAATTCCACAAATCAACATAATCAACTCTGCGTCCACATAATGCACTTGCCGGCAAACTTACCCGAAAGAAATAACTGCTGTAGAAAAATGTAAAAACTTTTTTATAGTTAGCACGTAAAATAAAATTTTAAAAAGTAATGTTGAAAATGCAAGAACAGCAACAACAGCAACAACACAAAAATGGCAAAGGTACAAAAGAAAACGGCACGATATAAAAACTGCATTTGAAGGGCAAACAGGAGAGAAGAAGTGGTCGGGCAAGCTGATAATGACATCACAAGTATACATTTCAGGACCCACCCATGATCTAATTTCCTAACCTCAGCAGCGAGGAACCCCAAAGGGGCGTCACTTACCTTGAGAGCAAGAAACCTACACACATGCATCCTAGAGAGCAAATAGCTCGACAAGGAGCAGAAAAATAAAAAATCTTCAAAAGCAAAACAAAGAAGAAATTGTTTTCGCTTAAAAGAACATTCAAATGGAAATGTTCTGCTTGGCTCAACACAAACAACAAACAAAACAGTCAGGCGAACAAGCAAACAAACAAACAAACTGCATTTATTTAGTTAACAAAAAAGTATACCGGGAAGGAGCAGCTTTTGAGTACCAACAACCAACCGACAGACAGACAGACAGACAATGCATAAAAGTGAAGTGCGACGAGGCATGTGGCTGCGAGCAGGACGGAGAGAGAGAGAGGAAGAGAAGGTATAGCTGAGCTCGCTCGACTGTGGCATCTCCTGCAGTCATAATTGGACTACAAGTAAACCAATCCTATAGCAGTCTTATTTGAATTATAATACGATAGCGAATAACTAATGCTATATGCATGGAAAGTTTCAATTCCATACAAACTATGTACATACATATACTACATATGTATGTGGACTGAAAGTTGAAACAGATTATTTTTACAATTCCCGATACTTATCTAACTTAACTCACATGTATATAGAAGTGCATTTGTAACGAACCAAACCAATGTACCCTTTCAATCTTCTTCATGGGTATAGGGAATATATAAAAAGTGTAGCATACAAAGCAGCGCTTGGCATTGCACTTTGTTGCCTTCTGGCTGTCAGATTGATATTAAATTATATACCTTATTATCATTTCGCTGGCGCTATTGTCGTTGTTGCTGCTCTTGTTGTTGCTGTTGTTGTTGCTGTTGTTGTTGTTGTAAGCGATATCAAAGGTAGCACACATGTGATAGCAACGAGGGGGCGTGGTGGTTAAGCCAACTTTATTTACAGCCAGCAACAATTGTTGCTGCCATGTCGCTGACTGACGACGGTGGCACAAACAATGCACTTTGGGTGCTGCTCAAGTCAACGGCACACTTCGCCCCCACTTCTCCTCCGCCGCCCTCTTCATGAACACCCCCTCCTTCCACATACGAGCATAACCTGGCATGTGTTGTGTGTGTGTATGTGTGTTGCTGCATTTGTTGTGTAAATTGTTGTTATTTTTCAACAGCAGACACCAGCAGGGCGCATCGTACTGCATCCTCGTAATATGCTTGATGGCTGCGCCCAAGTGACATTAAATGGCTGGCATTTGGTTAGAGTTTGGGGCTGGAGTTGGGTTTGGGTTTGGCTTTGGCTTTGGGTTCGACTTGGATGCAGTTTTTGCCTGACTGCGCTCATAAAAATTGTTCAAGTGCCGGGCAGCCTTAAAGCTTCAGGACCAAGCCCTCGACGAAAGGATTTCTTCTTATTGCTTTTTAAAGCCATTGCCCGGCACTCCACTATAAAATATTTATTTTTACTTATTTTCATTTATGCGCTTTTTATAATGGTTATTAAAATAAATTGAAGTAATAGTTTCGTTTACGTCTCGATACGAAATAAATAGGATTAAAGCATTGATTATTTTCAAAAGTGCCAGCGTTTATTTGTTTTGTTTGGCTTTGTTTTATGTGAGAAATTTCAGTTATCGTTGATAGTAAAACAAGAAAGAAGTAAGTTCAGTTTGAACAGCACCCGACGAATCAATAGAGTAAACGGGTGCCTTACGCGCTTACCAGAAATCGGCATCAAATTTTATAATTAATAAGTAAGCAAAGTGCAAAAATTATTATTCAATTGAAGTTATAAGTAAACTACTCATTTAATAAAAATTCCCCCACCTTTCTTGAATATTAGAAACTGTCTGTTTATTCATAAATTGTAAAAACATACTTTATATCTAATTCAGTAGAAAAGGTCTTATAACCTCAACTCTTTATTGTTTACTAATAAAAATGAAACCGAAATTGAAGTATTAGGTAGGGTATTTACAGATTAATAGACTTTAAACTTTCAAACTATTTGAGCCTTTCAGCTATGCTTACAACTGTTAATTAATACCACAGATGAAAAAAATTGAACATCAAACAAACAAATTGAGTTTTGTATTTAAAACATTTTCTAACATCATTCTCCTAAGAAATTGTACTTAAATATTTTTAAAAAATTGTTTAAATATATATTTTATCTTGAGTGATCTTAAAGAGCATGGCTAGTTCCTTAACAAGTTAGTTAATTTTTTTAGAAAAATAAACTAACTCCTGTCCTTTCATCCATATAAGTACGTATGTATGTATGTATTTTTTCAAATGCCCGCCAAACTAATTATCCCATTCCACCTTAACCCTATAAGGCCTTCGTAGTCTTACTAATCGCCGGTATTGTCTACCAAGCAACCAAAAATGAACCCACTAATTAACAAATTGATTTATGGAAATGAAAATGACAAATCTCCGGGGACAGCAAGTTGCGGCTCAACATGCCACAATCAGGCAAAAAACTCATATGCAAATTTTTGCCAAACAATAATAACAAGCAACCCCTTCGAATGCCCACCAAATGTGATTTTGTGGCTAAATGCAAAAACCAAGTCAACTTACAAAGCTCGCCAAGTCGAGCCAAACCAAAGCCACCACAGTTTAGACAGATAGACAGACATTTAATTAAGGTGTCTTCATGGTTACAAGAAATGAGGTGAGGAGGCGAGTCGAGTGGAGTCGAGTCGAGTGGTAAATGAGTCTAATTAATAACGAAGCATTTGCCACATAATTCATACGAATGAACATTGGCTGATGAGTCTATGGCTGCCCTGAGATAAAAAGTGGTTGAGAAG